CAACAACAACAGACAACAATCAGCCAGTATGAATGGGAGGAACCTGAAAGAAACAACCTCCTTCACCTACTCACTGACCTGGGAAGCATCGTTTCAACTACAGGCGGATGGAACTGACAAGGATATCAAAGCAGCGAGGATCGGGAAAGCAAGACAAGCTTTCATTACTCTCAAGTCTGTGTGGCGGTCAACAGCACTCAGAATGAAATGAAAATAAGATCCAGATTTTCAACTCCAATGTGAAGTCAGTCAGTGTTACTATACGGATCAGACACTTGACCAGCGCGTCATAAAGAGCACCTTAAACAAACTACAGACCTTCATTAACAGTTGTCTTCGCTCAATACTATTCAAGATCATATGGCCGGCCAGAAAAGATCAGCAACAGTGAGGAATCTCTGGAAATGAGCAAACCAACACAGCAGGAACCGATCATGAAACAAATAGGCAGAAAGAAATGGAGATAGGTGGATTGGCCATACTCTGAGGAAACAAACCATCAAGTGACACCACTAGACAAGCCATTCGTCGAAAGGAACCCGAAAGGGAAGCGGCAAGTTGGTCGTCAGTGTGAGAGTGACTTGGAGGAGGTCATGTGAAGAGGAGATGAAAACATGTGGGCAGACTTGGAGCCAGGTGGAAACATGTAGCAGGGAACCGAACGCAATGGAGACGTAGTTGGCTGAAGCCCTATGTTCCTCCAGGAATTAAAGGGAATAATAAACTGGCTCCATCCAATCACGGGGACATCTTACGTAACCTTCGTCGTGGCTGCTTTTAAACTGACGGCATACATATAATACCACGATCTACCCATTTTTGACCTCAAAATTGACTAATGCTCAGATGTTGCAGTGGATGATGCTGAGGATAACAGGCTGGCTGAGCATGTATGAAAAGACTCCTCAGCGGCGGTCTATTCAACTTTTCAAAGAAGAAAACTGGACAAATTCGTTATACAAACCACACACTCACACACATCTATCATCATATGTAAAATATGCTATTCGAAAATGTTGACGATTTCGCCTGTTTTTGAAACTGCTTCAGTTCAGAAGGAATGACAATTTGTGAGATTTCGATAGTGGGGGAGGGTGATACTGCTGTTCAACTGTATATCAAATGAAATGCAATATATCGCAAAACAGTATGCCATAATATGATAGTGTGTTTGAGATACATTGCTGGTAAAAGACACAGGTTCTAAGGTATAACCTTTTTCACTCCACAGATCGAAACTTGATTATTATTATTATTGTTCCCTTGGGTTCCTAGTGGAACATAGGGCTTCAACTGCACATCTCCACTTGCTTCTGTCTTCCGCTGCACTGTACTTTTCACTTTTATTCATGTTAGTCCATACTCTTTCAACTCCTCTTCACACGATCTCCTTCATGTCACCCTTACACCAACGTCCCACTTGCCGCTCCCCTTTCGGCCTGGTTCCACTCGAGAAATGGCCTGACGAGCGCGCGATGTCACCCAGCGGCCTCCTCAGCGAGTGTCCAATCCATCTCCACTTTCTCCTGCATATTTGCTGCTGTTGGGCGATTGGTTCTTGTTTTGTTTCTTCCCAGCCATAGTTTCTTGTTGGTGATTCTTTCCGGCCCGGCCATCTGATTGATCTTGGTGGCACAGTGGTTAGGACTCTCGCCGACCATGCACATGGTCCGGGGTTCGAGCCCTCGCCGACGCACACCTGATATCTATGGTTGGCCTGCGAATTTTGGGCTACCGATATCCACGCTGAAAATTCCATACTTGTACCAAAAATACGGTGTGGAATCAAGCTGTAACCATAAAATGAAATAAATAAAAAAATAAATCTTCAGTATAGAGCCAGCGAAGACAGTTGTTGATTAAGGTAACGTCTGCAACAGGCTGTTGGAAATATTCTTCGTGACCCGCCCGCCAAGTTTCTGATCCGTATAGATAGTGTCGTTGAATTTAGACATTAGGATATCGTTAGGCATGGAATCCAATTTTGATTAGCACAGTGACTGAGTATTGTTAATATTACGGTAACACACCTGCTGTGATGTATCTACCGTCACTATGAATTGATGATGTCGAGGTTAGGGAACTTGGTAATAGGAGAAATGTTGACTAAAGCCCAGTTATGGAGTGCATTTCAAACACTCCTGTAATACAGCTAAATACACCTACATGGAATAAAACTGGGACGGCGAGAAACACATAGAACAGAAGTGATACATACATACACATAAAAAAAAGAAGTGATACATTTCTGTCCCCTTTGCCTTTCCTGCAAACAAACAACTCTGCAAGCAAAATTAATGTTTTTGCTGCCAACACCAGTAAAATCTTGATTTCTGTAGCCACACCTTTCACTTTATGATTGATTAGACTCACATTTTGAAAGATCATTATAATTGTGAGCGTCGGTGGCACAGCGTTTAGGATGCTCGCCAACCATGCACAGGGTCTGGGGTCCGATCCCCGGCCACCGACGCACTCCCTTACCTCGGTAAACCAGAAGTAATGCTGATAAAGAGGTAAGGTTTGGCATGAGGCTAGCAACCTCATCCTGTAAAATTAAACACTGCTAAAGAAACTTCAAGCCACTAGCGTTGAGACCCTATGTTCTACTGGGAACGTGAAGGAAAAAAATTATAATTGTGAGAAACAAGCTACGCGTAAAAGCCTATCTCAAAAATTCCACTACTCAAAAGACTGATTTGACATTCACAATACTATTTTATCTTTCTTTAAGTATTGAAAAGTCTGCTAGCAGCTTAATATTAATAAAATATTATAAAGACAAAGGCAGTCACCAATTTCTGACTTTTTAGCGAGGAAGTTTCTGCTTTCTATCTATCGACCAGATATATAAGGTAAATAAGAAAGTCGATAGGTGATTGGTCACAGGCATATATGATCATGTGATTGTGTTTTTTATTTTCTGACCTTGGTTTCTATTGGCTACCGAATAACAGGTAAGGTAATACAACCCACATATTGAAGGGAAACAAAGCAAAATAAGCTTGTTACCTGATTGGATGAATGAAATTGGTATGTTTCTATTTTTATTTTGAGGAATAGTAGGCATGAGTAGATATTTAGGAAATAATAATATTAAGCAGGAATGATGAAGAGAATGGTGATAACGTAATAAATTTAGATGGTAATAAAGGGATGTGCTACTTACTCTCTCACACTTTAACCATCTCACATATAGTTGAAGAATTTTAATTAAATAACCTGTGAGTGTGTGTATATTTATACAGCAGTTGACAATCTTAGTTAAAAAAACCCACTTCATAAAACCTGTTAGTTAAACGCCTCAATATTTCCATTCTTGATTTCAGTTAGTGACAGCAAGATAGGCATGACATAAATCCTACCCACATATAGACGTTTGTTTTCGACATAGAAGTTTGCACCGATGTGCGGAAGTTCGAGTCGCCACACTCGCTCCATGTACCACACAAAGCAAGAAAAGAAAGTAGAAATGCATAATAGAGACAGTAAGCAGAGACAGGTGTGAGACAAAGGAACAGTAATAACGAAGAACAAAACAGTTTCATTGGAAATCATAAGTCACAAGGAGTGGATGCATCTGCGCTAGCCATTGAGAACGATTGCTTTGAGCCATATCACCAATTAATTCCAGCCTTCATTGGTTTTTACCGTCCGAGGACCCAACCAGGAAGTCTACACCTTCCTACGTGACTGGCTTAAACTATCTGTTATGGATTTCATTGACTGATGAAGCCATGTTTTGGTTTGACCGCTGCTAGCTCTTTTCCAGCCTGACCCTATATCAGCTAACATTGCCTGTCGGTCGAGGAAGGCGATCGCTAGGCCAGACATGCATAACACATGTCCTAACCATCTCAGTCGATGTAGCTTCACAGCTTCGTCGATTGATTTCCCCTCCTGAGCAGCCTAGCACTCGAATGATGTCTAACCTCAATATTGCTCACCTTATTATTCTAACTCACACGGGAGATAGAACGAAGGCACCTATGATCGAAGACAGCTGATCTTTTCACGTCTTCCACTCTCAATGGCTATTTCTCACTCACAGCCATAAAAGAGGACGGAGTGGACTGATGAGCAGTACACCCACCCTTTGGTCGACAGTCAGCCAGGTATCACGTCTACTAAGCCAGAGACGGCGTAAACTGGCATAAGCGAATCTAGCCCTTTGTATCCGTACTGAGATTTCGTCAGAGATCAACCCGTTGGCATTGGTTGATGCAACTTCCCAAATAAGTGAAGCGGTCAACGTGCTCCACTAACCACTTCACTCCCTATTTCTAAACTAGGAGTCAGTGTGGTCCAGTCCAGTGCTGTAACATCATTTTACATTTGACGGGGGTGAATCGAATGCCAAACATTCGTAGATTACTCACTGCTCAAGGCGTTCAGAAGACTCTGCTTGTATTTTGTCAGCGTTCTCGCCAGAAGGAGTATATCGTCTAGTTCTAGTGAGAAGTCGTGCCCAGCATCGTTCAACCAAGTTAGCTGTTAGGACAAGTAATTACGGATGACACTGGCGATGAATCATAATCAAAAGTTGTGCTGAGTACAACGGATGAATAAGACCATAAAGCGCTTATATTCCCAGCAGTACAGCGAAGCAGTACATCACTACACCAAAGGTTTACAATCTTCCTTATCATCTGCTAGGGAGTCATTCTTAGACAGCAGATGTAAAACAGGATTTTAAACAGATACAGTGAAAGACAGACAGAAATTAATACAAGTTTAACAGCGTTTACTTTTCAAGTACAAATCTGCAAAATATGCACACCATCGAAATGATAACCAGCAATCATTACTTACTAACTTAGATATAAAAAAAGTATACACACATGAGTGATTCTAACTGAATTCAACGTAGAACTTTACACAGATGTGCGTAGAACAAAGTAGAGATGTACACGGTTGAAGCCCTATGATCTCTACTCGGAACCCAAAGGGATAATAACAATAAAAATAATGAGAACAAACCCATCAACACTGCAACACACTTACGTGACTGGAATTGGCGGTGAATGACACGCAGCTGGACAGACATACACTGAAGTATTCAAGGCATCAGTTTCTAGTTTAACAAAAAAATCGATATCTTGTTGAACTGAATAATCACTGTACCCCGCCTCTTTTGATGATGACGATGCCAGTGATGACGATGACGATGATGACGGTGATTTACGCGTATCCACCCCATCAGGATGGCTGGATACAGAGGATAAAATGGTAGATAAACTTGGTGAACGCCAAACAGACAACTCAACAGCCATTAAATGCGGTGAAGAGATACTGCCTTCACGGGATAATAGGCGTATTTCAAAGTTTGTATACACACCAGGTTTATTCAATTCAATTCTACGGAATATAATATCACGATGGATAGAATCTGGAGGATAATTGAAGGCGATATGATCATGAGTTATATGGAATGAACCGATACTGCGAAGTGCAGCCTGAAACGTGAAAACAAAATAAAAACAAGAAAAGAGTGATAAGAGTGTTAAAATATACGCAATAAAGAAGGGGTGGTGTATGTGTGTGTGCGTGTCTGCTAAGCGTAAACACACTTCGAATCTGATTCAATGTGAAGTATGTGCTGAAGATGTTGTCAACTAGGGAAATAATGAAAGCTTCGCAAATAAACCGTCCAGTTCAGAGAACACAGAGAACTACATCAACCAGCCCGTTCGCCATTCATTGATTGATTGCGATACTTGGCCATATCCGATAACATTTCGAACAGAGACCTGTACGGAGGTTTCTGGGATGACATTCGCAGCACATGTCCAAGCCACCAAAACCGATGTTTCCACATGACGACACTCAACGAATGATGATCTCTTATTGAATTGAATTTTTGATTGGACCTGAGACCGAGCACTTCGGTCCAATCAATCGACGAGAAAATCAAAAAATTCAATTCAATAATAATATGACCCGTTGCACAAGAAGTGGCTCTCGTGGCCCAAGTGGTCTAGTGGATAACGCTTTGGCGTTTGAAACTATGGGTACTGGGTTCGAGCCTCGGTGGGAACATCATCACTCACTGAGAAATGCAGGTACATCCAGCTGACGAGTCCCAAATAGGACGAAATGCGCTTTATCCTGGATTCCACTGCTAGCCACCATCCACCAATTGTATACGAATGATGATCTCCCCTGTGTCCAAACATACGCCACCGAACCTCGGAATTAATCACGCGATGATGACATCGGAAGCAAGCAATCCTGCGGAGACAGCGATGATTGAATACACAGAGCTGTCGCACATCCTCAGAGCTTGAAGAGAGCAAGACAGTGCACACCGAAGCATTGTATACCCGACCTTTGACAAGCGGGCTAACGTCACAACGGCGCTAGACGTTGTTCAAGTTAACATATGTCACCTTAGCTTTCATAATACAGTTGGAAATCTCATCTATCACACACAACTATCCAGATACACAAACTTATCAACAAGTGGTTCACCTGCAAGCAAGAATTAGTGTAGGTAAAGGCTCCTGTCAATCTTGTAACAGTAATTTGTACTAAGACGGCGTAAAGCACATATCATACTAACACATACTGTACTTAGTTAGATGAGCTCTGCTGAAAATAAGCCGAATGGCCATCCACTGTTCGTTCAGACAATACACTAATCCTTTTAAAATCTCATTCACAATCGATAAAGAAGTTGAAGTCAGTCACATAGGAAAAGGATTAAATAAATAGTCAGAGAAACAATCGACAATAATTATGCAGCTAGTCAAGATAAGGATAAGAAAACCTCGTGAAAACAAAAAACAAACAATCAATCACAGTTCAAAGGTCATCAGTATAGAGAGACAGTTAAATCATTCATTGAGAAGTAAAAGAAAAGCATTCCAATTTGGAAAAAAGAAAAAACAACAGGTTGAGCGAAGAAATATGCATTCCTTTTGAATGCAACCGCTTCCACATGATCGACTGGATGGCTGGTTCTACCCTAATATATATAGTCGTTTTTTACATCAAAATCCTTTTACCAATCAAGTGGTTATTTTAGTTAATCAGTTTTAGGTATAAGCGGAGATGAAATAAAGAGGTTAAAGGTCATCAAAACAAATAACTAATAGATCTTGATCTTAGATGGTTGGAGACAATCGGCTATAGGAAGCCTTGGACCTACGTTTCGTGCTAGTTGTCACTCACCAGTCAGCAAGACGTGTCTGCAACCTTGAAGGAACTCATGTCCCTTCTAAGAATCGAACCCGCGTCACCCAGTGTGGTCTGCAGTCAGAGACCTTACCACTGAGCTATTCGGGCTCGCGATTGACCTCCTGTAGGACTGTATTGGGTATTTTGATTGGACACTAGTAACTTGATCATAATTTGCATTGAATTAAGCTATGAAACTGTAGTTCAAGTGGAGACAGTGAAGGCTTCGCAGCAGCCATGTATACCATTCAGGTCAAGGTACAAAACCACAGGAATACAATACACCCGTGCGATCTCAAGTATTTTAAAACGCCAAACTTAGTGAATATCTTGGATTTTGAATAAAGCAAGAACAACAACAGTGATGGTTTGTGGAAAATAAGAAGATGGTACCATCCTTGTGTTTATTTCGTTGGCTTCTCATCACCTCAGCTGCTTACAGCTTACAGCCTAAATAAATTATGAGGTAGATTTATGTACAGAAAGGTCTTAACATACTTGCAAATTTTGTTTTCATGATGTCAGTTGACAGAAGGTTCCACAATTACTGAACAGCGCTCAGAAAATTGGGCTTTTATAAATTTTTACACAAGCAGTTCAAGTTTAAACAAAATAAATGTATGCATGCATAGAATGGTAAAGGAGTTACGTAATAAAGACGAGAGATGCGTAAGATGCAGAGTGACTAATAAGTTAGGTAAACAATGTATACTGAGTTCAACTCAAATCATAGAAACAAAAGACAAGCAGAATTAAAGATTATAAAAGGGGGGTGAGGTTAAAGACGAAGATTACGTAATCAGATGAGAGAATAAAGACATCCAGTTTCCAGGGCAAGGAAAGACTAATAACTGCTTCTTTGTGAACACATAAATCTGGTTTCAAGCGTTTGATAGAAATTGCTTCGGAAAACTTAAGGAGAATGGAAGTCCTTTGTCTATTGATAATTTTGAAGGATTTCTCGATTTCCACTTCATGATTCGTGTCGAGGAGATGTCTTGTAATAGCGCCACTATAAGAGTTTGTTCCCTTGAAAACTAGGCTTTTCGGTACATGTTCAGAAAATCGGAGATGTGCTCTTCTTTCTGTTCTCCCAATGTAACTGCTCCTGCAGATACACGTAAATTTGTATACACAGTTGGAGCACACTGTTACCTAATTCATTAGTTAGTCATCATCTAACGCATATCTTGTCTTTATCAAGTAACTCCTTTACCATTCTATGCATGCATACATTTATTTTGTTTAAACTTGAACTGCCTGCGTAAAAACTATATAAGTGTAATTTTCTGAACACTGTTCACTAATTGTGGAAGCTTCTGTCAACTGACATCATGAAAGCAAAATCTGCAAGTATGTTAAAACTTTTCTGTACATAAATCTACCTCATAATTTATTTAGGCTGTAAGCTGTAAGCAGATGAGGTGATGAGAAGCCAACGAAATAAACAAAGTATGGCACCATATTATTCTGAACAAACCACGGTTGCTCTCGTTTTATTCAAATTCATCAAGGGGAATAAATGCATGAAGATATCTTCGATATTTGAAAGTATCACACACCTAGTGAATAAAATAGTAACCAAATGACATTTTATAGTTACAACACAGAACTCAGTTGCCTAGACCAGATTTCTCATGTAGCAGATTACAAAAATGATCTATGGAAAAAACAAGTATTGCATGAAATCTGATGCGATACAACACAGTTGCTCAGGGCTGAAATAGATGGAACAGGGTTATACGAGCACGTTTTATTTCGTCGTGGATTCTCTTTCTCTCTCTTTAACTGCATCATACATCCTAAACAATATCAATTATATGTTACAAAATGGTGTCTCAACATACCATCTTTCTACAATGACTTCATGTGTTATTGATAGAAAGTATTATTATTATTTCCTTTAATTCCTAGAGGAACATAGGGCTTCAGCCACCCACGTCTCCATTGCGTTCGGTTCCCTGCTACATGTTTTCACCTGGCTCCAAGTCTGCCCACATGTTTTCATCTCCTCTTCACATGACCTCCTCTAAGTCACCCTCACACTGACGACCAACTCGCCGCTTCCCTTTCGGGTTCCACTCGAGCAATGGCTTGTCTAGTGATGTCACTTGATGATGGTTTGTTTCCTCATAGTATGGCCAATCCACCTATCTCCATTACTTCCTGCTTATTTGTTGCACAGTCGGTTCTTGCTGTGTTGGTTCGTTCATTGCTAGAGATTCCTCACTGTTGCTGATCTTTTCTGGCCATCTGATCTTGAATAGTATTCAGCGAAGACAGCTGTTAATAAAGGTCTGTAGTTTGTTTGAGATGCTATTTATGACGCGCCCCGTCTCTGATCCATATGGTAAGTAGCACTGACTGACTTCACATTGGAGTTGAAAAACTGGATCTCATTTTCATTCTGAGCGCTGTTGACCTCTACACAGACTTGAGAGTAATGAAAGCTTGTCTTGCTTTCCCGATCCTCGCTGCTTTGATATCCTTGTCAGTTCCGTCCGCCTATAGTTGAAACGATGCTTCCTGGGTAGGCAGGTAAAGGAGGTTGTTTCTTTCACTTTCATCCCATTCATACTGGCTGATTGTTGTTTGTTGTTATTGTTCCTGTTGATGGTGTTGGCCAGGAATCTTCATCACCTACCTCTGTTTTCTCTATGTTCACCTGAAGTCCTACCGTTGATGCTTCTTCTTCTGTCGCCAACTTGTTGCTTTTCACTTGCAAGCATGAGTAACATAATTTCAAAGATGACGTAAGTAGGTAGACAATTATTTAGTGTTAAAATAGTTATTATGTATATAGTAATTAGACAAGCAAGTGAGGTAGAGTTCAGATTTCGCTTAGAAACAAGGATGAACTAGAGACAAATTACAAAAGATATAATAACAGAGTGAATTTATACATATTTTATGGTGGAGAGTTCAGGAGGGTATTGGTGGGGTGAATAGTGAAGTAAAAATTATAAAAATAGATAAAATAATTAGTTAATTTAGTAATATTTCGAAACTTAGTAGTAGTGAGTTCAACTCAGTCACAAAGTGAAAGTCAAAATCAAGATTAAGTGGAATGTTGTGGTATGCAAGCAAACAAAAGAATTATGGTCACCAGGATGGTGAGAGATTAGTCACACCATATTTCTGTATATATATATATATATATAAGTTGGGTCGAAGTATTTTTGTGGTAGCAATGGCTTCTATGGGCCAAAGCAACTATGATTCTCTTTGTATATACTGATTATTTCGAAAGCCTGACTAATTTCCAATATATGTCCCT